ACAGAGGCCCTAGAGTGTGATGGGTTGGGGGCAGAACTTGCAGTTAGCTGAAGGGATGTGTGTGAGTTGAGAGAATAGGCTTCCCTTACACCCGGTAGTCTGTCGAGAGTCTGTCGCCTCTCAGAACACGTGAGCATAGGCCAGCTTCCAGTATTTCTGGGGGCTTGCCCACCTAGTATCCAGGCCCTGGGAATAAAGGGATGAGGACAGAACAGCTGGCTGGCTCAGGAGGGGTGGGTGGGTTTGGAGGCCTCCCTCGTCCCTGGCTCTGTTGTGGCAGATCCTCGGGTCTTCATGATCTTGGGGTTTCCTCCAGGGAGGGCCAGCCTAAATCTGACTTGCCCAGGAGTTACACACCTGAAATCCAGGCCCTGGATCTGAGGGAATGGGGGCCTAGCAGGAAGCTAGCTAGAGGAAAATGGGTAAATTTGGGGTTCCCATGCCCCCAGGCTCTATTAGTGTCATCACTAGTAATTTTTGTAAGTTAAAGAGTGTCCAACAGTGTCCCCCCAAGAGTCTCCAGGCCAGAACCACAGCTGTCAAGACTTTTTTTGGATACTGCTTTAGAATACATTGTTTTTCTTCCCTGAGAAGGATATTAGGGTATCTTTTTCTTTCTCCAAGCCACCCTGTTTGAATTTCCTAGATGAGATTTAAAGAGAGACAGAGAGCGAGAAAGAGACTGTAAATTTACGGTGCAGAGGCTATATGTTTGAGTGACCAAGGAAGAAATGGTCTATAAAATTTTTTGTTAATCTAAATACTAAACATTTGTGAATTCTATAAAAGAAAACAGGTGAAATCCTCCCAGGAACGTGTTGGTCAGCAAAAATGTTTATTTATGCAAGAATGAAACATCATAAATTCCCAAAAAAAGATGGCAGAAAGAGGCCAGATCACAAAATTCCCTTCCATCAATATCTAATGAAATTAATGTAAAGAAAGTTGTAAGAGCATAAAAGAAATATTTATTAAATATTAAAATAGGTTGTCAATTATGTTCAGTTTTAGAAAAAAGTGCTGTTCCCTGAGAAGAGGATGAAGATAAACCCAGCCAAGTGGAGAAAACCTTATACAGAACACTTAGAATATATCAGATGTTCTTGTTGGGGAGAAACATTTACCTGAGTAATTCTTTAGCTTCTTTGTTTAATTCGTTAGTTTAAAAATAATACTGTTATGGACTGAAGGTTTGGCTCCCCCAGAATTCATATGTTGAAATCGTAACCCGCAATGTGATGGTATTAGGAGGCGGAGGCTTAGGAAAGTCATTAAGTCATGAGAGTAGAGCCCTCATGAATGGGATTTGTGCCCTTGTGAGGGGAGGATTTCAAGAAATCTGAGCTCTTTCGCTCTGCCCTGTGAGGTCACAGAGAGGAGACCATCTATGAAGACTATCATCATAGAAGACTATCTATGAATCAGGAAGAGAGTTCTCACCAGACACCAAATCTGCCAGCAACTCGATCTTGGACTTCCCAGCCTCCAGAACTGTGGGAAATAAATTTGTTGTTTAAGCCATCCAGTCTATGGTGTTTTTGTTATAATAGCCCAAACTGACTAAAACAAATACTTTTTAAATTAAAAAAAGTATGTTCAGTATGACCCTCTTTATTTCCCCCTTTCTTTCCATCTATTCATGCACTATATTGTTTTCATAAAAATAAGGAAGTCATTATCCTAAAAAGAGAAGATAGCACTTAACCTTTCTTTAAAAAAAAAAAAATTCTCCAGCTTAATCAGTCTTCCTTCAGTTTTCGTCCATCCTCCACTGTTCCTATTTTGATTATATTTATTTCTCAATGAAGTTCCTACTTAAAACTCTGAGCAAACTTGATTTCTGAACACAAAATGTTCCAAGCATAAGCTTTAAAATTTTTCTTCTCCCTGTTTGTGTTTGTTATAATTCCATTTCATGAATCTATTTTAGTCCCTATAAAAGTCCACAGGGAGGGACATACCTGTGAAGAGGTGAGGAAGAAAATGGTGAGTGAGAGGCAGCCGTAATGGCCCTCCCGTGGCAGACGTATTTTCCTGGAGGCTTTTGTCCCAGACTGTGGCGAAGAGTTACATTCAGTGTACTTAAATCTCCCCTGCCCTCCCACACCGGAAGTCCCTTTGTTATACAACATAGAGCTTTAAGGGTGGTGAGGAGAAAAAAAAAAAGCATGGGGAAACACACAGGAGTGAGGCCTGTCCCACTCACTCTCTACCTCAGTAAATAAAGAAGAGCCCCCAGAAAGGGGCTTGTATTCAGGGGTTACCAGTAGTGACCAGCAGCAAAGCCATGTGGAGGCTGGAGCAGCTGAGCGGAGCACAGAGCTCTGAGCAGCAAATTCCAACGAACAACCCAGGGTAGGGTGGGGGCTGTATGAGTCGGGTTCTCCAAAGAAACAGAACCGATAGGAGATTAGGTAGATAGATAGATAGATAGATAGATAGATAGATAGATAGATAGATAGATAGATAGATAGATAGATAGATATGGATGGATAGACAGATAGATTTATTATAAGGAATTAGCTTGAACAATTATGGAGACTGCAAGTCTCAAAATCTGCAGGGTGAGTCCGGAAGCTGAAGAGCTGACGGCGTTATTCCAGTCCAAAGACCAACAGGCTCAACACTCAGGAGTCAATGTTTCAGTTCCTGTCTGAAGGCAGGAAAAAGGGCAACGGCCCGTTTCGAAGACAGAAAGATTACTTAGGGGAGGGTCAGCCTTTTTGCTCATAGGCTCGGCCACGACTCCCTTCTCCCGTGCCTCCTTTACTCTAGAAACCTGCAAGCTGTGTGTCCTCTGCTCGCTTTCCTGCCAAAATCTAATCTCCCTCAGAACAACTCTGCCAGCCCTGGCCTGAGATTGGAGGGCAGACGTCGGGGTTCACTTCTCAGCGGTTTCTAGAAAAGAGCAAGCCCAGCTACCCAGGCACAGAGGGGTAATTTCTGACTACAGAGTCCTTTGAGGGTGAAAGGCAAAGCTAATGTCTGGGCACGTCTGTGCAGCTGAGTGCTGCGTCTAAGGGACCTGCGGAGGCAGACGGGTGATTAGAGATTGTGGACTGAGTGTTCCTAAAAGATCCGGGGTCCTTGGCCTTCAGTTTTCTCTTTCTCGTTCTCTCTGCCAAGACAGCTGCATTTCTCTCTCACCATATCCGTCCTCCTCTCAGAAACTGACAGTCAACACACACATGCCTGCCGCCCCCACTCTCTCCCCAGACACACCCGCAGAGCCCAGCATTTTTAGTTGGTGTTGTTTTTGCTGTGCAATTGGTCACAGTTTCAGAGCTAAAACATCTCATCCAATCTCCTCCTTGATCGAAAAAGGAATAGTGACAAGCAGGCAGCAGAAAGGGTTAGCATAGGTAGAGATATAGCATGACCTTGACATTCGGATTGTGTGTGTGTGTGTGTGTGTGTGTGTGTGTGTGTGTGTGTGTTTAGGGGGCTGGGGGTAAACAGGGCCGGTACAGCCTGTGAACCTCCTCCCCGCTGCAAGCACACGCGGACTACACAGACCTCCGCCAGCAAATTCCCTGCCAATGGGGGCCAGGCTCTTCTGCTCTGCTCCTCTCCTCCCCCTGCCGCCTCCGCTCACCCAAGACCCCTCCCCCTCCTCCTCTGACGTCAGAGACATGCTCTTTGCAGGCTGGCTCTGGGCCTGGGTGAGGGCCTGGAAAGCAAAGGAAAGAGAGGGGAGCCCACACAGACTGGGAATTTAGTACTGACAGCTGCTCGGAGTTTAGAATGTCCGTTCTCACACACTGTCACATGTGTTTCAAGAAGTCTGAAAAACAGCAGACTTTTAAGTGGCAGTTAAGAGAACAACTCAAGTGTTCTGCGGATAAGGTGTGCTACCCACTACACTTTCTACCTGTAAAGAACTAAATTATCTGGAAGAGGAAGACAAACAGAAGAGACAAGATGAACAGAAAGACCTAAGGGAAATGAGCATAGAAAGAGAAGTGGGATTTAGAATTGAGGGAGGCCTATTGGATCCAGGGCAGAAATGGAGCTAGCAGGTCAAACTTACCCAGAAATAAGTGAAAGAGGAGAAGCAGAGAAGGAGATGTGACGACAGAATCAGAGGTCCAAGTGACGAGATGGCTGGTTTTGAAGGTGGAGCAAAAGGCCCCAAGCCAAAGAATTTGGGCAGCCTCCGGAAGCTGGAAAAGGCAAAGAAATGGATTCTCCCCTAGAGCCTCCAGAAGGAACCTAGCCGCGCCTACACCCTGATGTCATCCAGTGAGACCCTCCGGTACTTCTGACCTACAGAACTGTTTAGATAATAAACGTGTTGTTTCAAGCCACTAAGTTTGTGGTAATTTCTTACCGCAGCCATAGCAAACGACTGCACTCCCCAGATGGTAAAGTAGAGGATGTAACAGTGGCTTCAGGGTCCAGGCTTTTAACAGCCACAGTTTTCTCTCCCTCCAGCCCAATATCTGTCCCCTATTTATTGGTTAGTAAAATTTTTAACACCTTCTTGTTTCATTTAATTTCTAAAACAATACGTGTGATATTTTAAAACAATTCAGTGGTTATGAAGATAAGTATCCAAAACCAACTTCTTCACTCTTAGCCCTGCATCTTACATAAGCGATGCAAGATTGTTTTCTTCTTATAGGAATGTCATCACACGCTTCATTTTGATGCAACTTGATTCTTTTAACCAAAAATATATCTAAGAACCACAGATTTAACTCGTCCTTGGAAATAATTGCGCATTATCTTATATAAAAATATATTATTATATGTCAACCGCTCATTTGTTCATAAATAGTCTCGGGGATTTATTTTTCAACAAATTGCCCTGCCGCACTCCCGGGGCGGGCGCCGGGGTCTCCATCCTGGATGAAGGGCGGCATCTTCCAGCAGAAACCGACACAAAGCGCGCCTCTGCGGACCGGCGGCGGCTGGCCAAGCTCCGCCCCCCTGCCGCAGCCGCCAATCAGCTCCCGGGTCTGCGCCGTCCTGGGCTCCCCTCTCCCCTGGCCGCCTGCGGCTTTCCAGGTCCCCGGCCTCGTCCGCCGCCCAGTCCCTTCTCGCCTGGGCAGCCCCTTCCCCTTGGGAACTGCCGCCGCCCCCTCCTAGCCAGTCCTCTCTGCCGCAAACCCGCGCTGCAGGTAACAGCGGGCCAACGGTGAGTGGAGGTCAGCGATGGATTCTGGACCAGGAGAGGCCTGGCGGTGACACAGGCCACAGCCCAGAGCGCGGGGTGTCCGGGCGGGGAGAGGGGGCGACATGGTGAATGCCCGGGGAGACTGCCTGTGCATTTGTATAGGGTCGGGAGGGGTGGGGACTGGCGTGGGTCCTCTGCGTGTCGCCGAGGGGAGGGTGGCAGACGTGCTGCGCGGAGGATCGCTTGCTGTTTACCTCCCGGATGCTTCTCTGGTGTCTCCCCGCAGCTCGGTCTCTTTCCTTTTTGCCGCACTGTTATTCACCCTTTCTTGTCAGGAGGCGATGACCCCCTATTTCCTTGTGATTTTCTTGTGCTCCGCAGGGAGCCATTGAGATTTGAGCTAAAAGGAACCATGGAGGCGACGTCATCTCACCTCCTGGGGGCCTTGCTCTTTTATTCTTTGGGGGTAGCTTGCCTCTGCAGAACCCCCTAGCTGAAAGGGCTCACCTCCCCAAGTGCCCTCCGCGTCCACGGGCCCTGAGAGTGTCCGTGGTGGGGGAGGGAGGTGCGGCGTGCGGGAGGGGTGGTGATGGGACGGGGTGCGGGGAAGCAGGCGGAGCGTTCAGTCTGGAACGCATT